GACTGGACTACCAGAACCTTTTAACCCTCAAGCTCTACCAATTCATTAAAATTAACATGTAAGTGTTCCTACCAGTTATTGGCTCAGGCATCTTCTGTTTCCAAGAAGTTGACTTCAGTTGTGACTTTTTAGGTTTGACTATCTCGCCAGACTTTGGGATGGTAGTCTTCTCTGTGAAATAGGGAAAACATAGAAGATGAGAAAACAAAAAATAAGTAAAAATATAGAAATATCCAAATAAATCCTTCTACATTATATTATGTCTATTCCTGCACATAGCCCTCAGACTTAAATGAAATCCCACAGAGAACTGCACACACCTTAATTAAAGCGCTGGACTTTGAAAAGAAAACATGTTAAAAAGTCTCTAGCAATTTCAAATGCATCTCTTAAGTGAATGATTATACACCTTTGGCTTAACTCCCTTAGTATCTGAAGTCACAAAGCACAACAATAAAGCCTTTTGAATATGGTGCTGTGAGAACAGCCAAAGTAAAATATCAATTGGGCCATATGGTCAGTAGAAGGAAATCCAGCATAGGTCAGAATTTCAAGAACACAGCCCCAAAATGTACATATACTCTGTTAAAGATAGGATGGTATGTCTCTTTACGCATGCACGCTACACTTGAGTGTGTACTATGTTCTGTTTACTTGCTAATAAACTGCGAACACACTGTCACTTCTGACTGCCCCTGAAATCTTTTTGCATCTGACTCAAGGACCCAGTGTTTGAGTGCAAGTCAATGTCCTTGCCCCTCAAAGTGGACCTCCTCTGTCCTCACTTTGAGCAGCAGTGACACATGGGGTCTGAATTTTCTGACAAACTGGAAAATAGTCCTTGATTATCAGCTTGTTTGGTTTTTTGTTTGTTTCTCCCTTGGCTTGATGATGGGAATGATGGCCTCCAATCTCTTTACATTTGCAAACTGAAACCACAAGTCTTCTTGTATTTACTTTTCAAACCTTTATGACCTATAATTTGCTTTTGATATTTTAATCCACTCTTTCTTAGCTTCAATGATAACACTCTATCACTTTTCCATTCCTACCATTCTGGCAACTTATCTCTCCTTTCTAAGTAAATCTCTTTCTCAGTCCACCACTTAATTTTCCTAAGGGTTCTGTTAACGTCCCTCTCCTCACTCTAACTCATTTGCCATATACAATAATTCTAAAATCTGAGTTTGGAAGCTCTAAGCACCTTCAGCTTATCAAGTTCAAGTCACGCTCAGCAGTAGTTTCTGTTCTCATTTATATTCTAAAGATCTGTTGTCTAGTTACAAAGACTCCAAACTAGAATAATAATTTCACCTGTACTTGTTTATTATGGTTGCTTTAAAAAATTACCACAAACTTGGCAGCTTAAAACAACAGAAATTTATTCTTTTATAGTTCTGGAGTCCAGAAGTCCAAAATCAGTATCACTGAGCCGAAAACCATGATGTTATCAGGGCAATGCTCCCACTGGAATCTTTTCTGGGAAATCCATTTCTTGACTCTTCTGCCTTCTGGGGACTGCTAGCATTCCGTGGCTTGTGGCCACACCATTACAATCTTCAATACCATTGTCTTTAATTTTCTCTTTGTTCCATCTTCACATCGCCTTCTTCTCTGATTCTGTGAAATTTCCCTCTGCCTGTGTCTTATGAGAATACAGATGATTGCATTTGTTTACCAGATAATCTACAATAGTCCCTCCACTTTAAGTCCGTAACTTAATCATATCTGAAACTCCATACAATTTTTTTACCATATAATACAACATTCAGAGGTTCTAGGGATTGAGATATTGATATCTTTTAGGGAATCATTTCCCCCCAATTACATCTCCCATTCCTTATCCTTCACATTTCACATATCAGTAAGATATCTCAGGGCTTTATTCAAATGACATCTATCAAATCTAGAGCGTCTAATTCCTCATCTTTTCCTGTCTCCCACCCATCCCAACACACATACACTAACACACACACACACACACACACACACACACACCCTTTAAGAGGGCACGCTCTCTTTTCTTTTTCACCATGTGAATCACTGAAAAAGTACACTATTGTGATAGATCTGTACCTTATTCTTGTTGGGATTTAGAGTGAAGAAAAATATTGAAAACCAAGGATGTAATTAAATTCTGTTGTTTCAGAATAGAACAATAAAACCCATTGACTAAATGACTTTCAAATGTCATATGTCACATTATTGTTGGAACTGAGACCCAAGTTCAGATCCTAGGACTCCCATTCTAGGGCATTTTGTACAGTTCTGTGTTGCTACAAATGAGTTAATAAGAGAGAACTATTATATTTATTAGAACATTTTACAACTGCACAGTGGTTTTAGTTTATAAAGTGCTTTCATACAGGCATTTAAACTTTTACATCTAACAGTTAAATGATTTAAAAGCAAAAATACAGCTTTTCCCTTCTTATTCTCACTGCCATCATTCTAGACTACATTAGCTTAACTTTCTCCTTAGTCTTCTGATATTGCCTTATACTCTTTCCATTGAATTATCAGGACCTTGGCAGTGATAACTTGATATAAGAATATATATATTCTTATATAAGATATAAGAAGATATAAGAATAACTTGATATAAGAATATATCTTGATATAAGATGAAGTGGGTCCACTTCATCTAACTTTACCATGTGATGACTTGTTATTTTCCAGTGAGAACCCTTAGTTACTACAATCATTACTGATAACCAAAGGCCACACTGTTCACTTTGAACTTCATTCTCACATTGATCACACTGTGTGGAATACCTTTTTTTGCTAACCAATTTAAACAGTTTTCCTCTTTCAAAGTCAACCTTATACCTTATGCCACCATCCTTCGTTGATGACTACAATCTATGTTTATTATTCTCATGAATTGATTCAACAAACATTTAACACCTAGCATATGTCAGCTGTCTACATAGTGCTGGGGGTACAATGATCTAGCACAAAACTTTCTACCAGCAAAAACCTCACTATTTAATACAGAAACTAGGCAGGTAAACAGTGACAAGAGAGAATGATAATTGCTTGATAGGAAATATAGGGCACTATGGAAAAAGAGGGGAGTGGAGAGAGGAGGTACATAAATAAATCTTCTCAATGAAGATGGCAATTGTCTTCTGAATTTCATATTTCCCTGTTTTTTGACATATTTCACTATGATCTTTTCTTATTTTTTATAGTATATTAAATTTCTATTTTTCTAGTATTCACATCCACCATCAAAATCTACACAGGTCTCCTTTCTTATTAAACGTATTTCATTCTACTTTAACTAATTCCTCAAGTCTTAGTTCCAATCCTATTCCTACCTCAGTGCTTTCTCACATCTCTGAACCCATTCTTTCTATACCATTAATTGGACATAGGGTACATTCTAGGCTGTTTGGTTCTATTACTTAAGATTTCGTTTTTAGTGCAGCTCATAATGAGCACTTAATTGAAAGGTCTTGCAAAGTTATAAAAGGTAGGGACCTGGGGCTGGTGTAGTGACTCAAGTGGTAGAGTAACTGTGTAGCAAGTGTGAGGCCCTGAATTCAAATCCTGGTGCCACCAAAAGAACTGATAGTGAGCAGCAAATCTGCCTAACTGTGGGTATTATTGTTACAGAACAGGTTGTAAGTGTAGAAAGGACAATATAGAAATGACATAACAACAGTTGGGAGGGAAAGTGGCAGAGTGGCTTGGAGGCAGCACAGGTATGTTGATCTGCACATCTTTAGTAGTCAGAAGATAATACAAAAGATAATACATTTAACATTATCAACATACATAATAAAGATAATACATTTAATATGGGTCAAAAGATAATGCATTTAACATTACAAATCGAGTTAATAAATTTAGTATTATAAAACAAGTTAACAGCATAAATGTTGACACTAAAAGGATGCAAACAACTAAAAACAGATGGTAGAGGAAATTGAGAAGGGAAGAGGAAATATTCTAAAATAATAAGGAGTTAATAGAGAAATACACAAATAGAAGATGAAGTATTTTATATAAAGTTATAGCTATAAAAGTGGCTTACGTTTACAGTACATATTACAGGGTAATTTAACAGTTATTAATATGATTGATAGACTATTATCTTTATCCCACCAGAGCATAACTAATGAAAGAGATTATCAGGACCTGTTTTTATTCACTATTTTATCTCTAATACCTAGCACTATGCTCAATAAATATAGTCAATTCTCATTATTTGTGTATTTTATAAAATCTCAGCAAACACTGAATTACCAACACTGAGGCCCTATTCTTTTAGCCTCTGCTTTTAACATTCTTGTCAACCAATCAATACATATTCTTGTGTTTATATGTCTTTCTATTTAAAGACATCTTACTAAATGGGTATTAAATATTCATTAATATATAACATACATTGTTTATTCATTAACATTGAACTCACAGCCGACAGCATTTTATGTACACCAAGGAGGCTTATGTACTATGTGTTTTTGCTGGAAAGCACATCACAGTCTTCTTGTGCTTATGAATATTAGACAGCACTTCAGCACTATGCATAGGGCCATTTTAAACAATTAAACCACCAACAAAAAGCACAAAGTCCAAGAAACACAGCACTAAATAAACCAGAACAGAAACACTTGTTCACAATATGTGAGCTGAAGCAGGAAGGCAGAGGTAACTCTATTCCACCTTGGCTGGGAGCACATGTGTTGAGTGACTCAAATTTTCACTTATCTGCACATTTCCATTAATGACTGGGAAAGAGCTGTAAGCACTGATTTGGGGGTTATAAGTAAATTTTATCAATAAGTAAATCACTTACCAAATCCACAAATGAGGATCAATGACAATGCTTGTAGAGTTGACAATTAGATGTTATCATCTTTAACAAATATTTCTAAGTTATCATTTACTAGTGATTGTCCTTAACTATTGTGTTTCTGAGCTATATAAGGCAAGGAATTGCTATGAAAAATACATAAAGGTTAATATACATGTCTGATTAATTCACATACCTGTCTGGATTTTCTTCTTATATAAAGACACCTTAGGGATTTTTGGAGGTAAGGGCCTTCGAAGAAGTAGTGGGTGCTGCTGCATTTTTAATAAACAATAATCACTGTTTTTCATAAGAATTGGTGAAATGAGATTTGAAGGTTTTGAGTATGTTTGAATTGTTGCTGAAAAGTAATTTATTAGAATTTAGATTACATCTTGAAAATCATTCTGCACTAATACTATACTGAGTCCAAGCAGAATTTCTTTATAAGAAAAAGAGGGTAAAAAAATAATTCTTTTAAATTTCTTAAATTTTTAGGTTTATAAATAGTACAGAATTTAAATATCTATGTATTATCACTAATTGGGGTCATTCTGAAACTTCCCATGTTAGTACAGATTGATCTGTCCATGCTATTTCATCCAGTAAATGGTGATTTTTCTGAACTGGAGAGATGACCTTTCTTTCACTACCTCCAAAAGATTATCACTATAAAGTTTCGAGTTTTAGTCAAATAGATGTGAAAGATCCTTCTATTATACAGGCCTCTGAAGATCCACACTTCTAACCATTTCCAAATGTGTTGTTTTCTTTCCATGATGACTTGTTTTAAATTTCAGCCACTAATGAGCTTCAATATAATGAGATTTCCCAGAATCCTTGCGAATCCCAGTTAGCACTGAGAGAGGATGCACCCCCAAAATGCACTGGCACGTTGCCAGTCCCCTGACAGACTAGCCGGGAGCACAAACGGGCGGTTTACCCTCAAACTGCACACAAGCGCTCGCCTGCAGGTCGTTCCCGTGGATGTTGGCAATCTTCCTTCCGTAGCATCAACATCTGGACCCACCTGCTTCTCAAACAAACTAGCTTTTCATCTCCTATCTGGTTTTTCCCGGAATTTGGGCGGCCAGGTAAAGGTGTCGTTAGGTAGCCGACGTTCCTGCAGGAAGCAGCTCCTAAAGCAGCATCCAGCTCGGCCAGCAAAGTGCAGCCTGAGGCCCTGGAGACTGACCCTAGTAACCAGCAGTCCCGGGCGGGTAAGTCCTGGGCGCAGGCGCCGCAGGTCCCGGCGGGCGGGAATCCCGCGAGGGGAGGATCCGCGCGCGCCCCGCGGCCCCGCCCCCGCGGAGCCCCGCCCCTGCGCAGCCCCACGAGACCATCCCCGCGGAGCCCCGCCCCTGCGAAGCCCCGCCCCTCCGCGCTGCGCGCGCCGCGCCCATTTGCCCAGATTCCGCGCTGTGCTGCGCTGCAGGGGAGGCTGCGGGCAGGTGGGGCAGGAGGAGAAGCCGCTCCACGTGCAGCTGCTGTGCGGAAGGCTGTGGTGAAATTATTACTATTCTTACTCTTAATGACAATGACCACTGTTATGAATTTACTCTACTCTATGACACTGGGTATCCAGGTTTAAACTGGCATTCTTTAATGCTGCACTTTTGCGTAGCCGGGTCCCGTTGCTGGTTTTGCAGTCCCTTCCCAACGTGCACATTCTGTTTTCTTTTTCTTCCCTTTAGTGCAACTTGTTTTGTCTTAAGGATCGTTTATAAAGGTTCTGGTTGACAAGGAACTGCTGTAGGAATAAGAGCATTAGGGAAGGAATCAAGAAAAGAATCCCATTTCTCACTGTCTCCATCGTTGGTTCTGATTGTGTTCTTATTGTGACTTGTCTCTTCTGTCATGCTGTTAATGAGTCCGTGTGTACAGTGGTAGGTACATCGTGTGTGTTTGCATGTATGTGCTTATTGGAGATTTGAGGGAGAAAGAGAACTAAGTGAACAAATTTCAACTCAAAAAGTAAAGTAAATAGATCTTCCAGGTTTTCTTTTTCTTTCTTTTTTAAAGTACAGGTGCAGGAACTTTAGTAACAGATGTTGGAAAAATCAGAGACTTCCATATAAGTATGTTTCTAGCTTTGGGGATTTTTCAAGATTCATTCCCTGACCATATCTCCCTTTTTCTCCTTAGGAGCAAGCTGATATTTTAAAACAATGAAAAAAAGTGTGGGGGGTGGGGGAGAAGAACCTGGGGAATACTAGGCAAATTGTTTTCCTTTAGAGTATTAGTATGTACTTTCTTTTCCTTGTAATTACTTTGTCCGCAATTATGTGGCCACCCAGACCACGGATTTATGCCACTTTTATCCGTGTCTACATCATAGATTGGTCAGCTTCTCAGAATGACAAGAAAGCAGACAGGAAAAGGCAGATCTGATGGCCAGGTTTTGTCTCTAGTTAATATATAGTGCATATTTTGTAAATGTGAAAAAAAATTATATTCTTAAGCATATACACATACATTAATGTATGTGTGCCAATCTATAAGTCAGTTTCTATATTCGTAAAGTCATTTGAACCATGAGAACTCCTGGAATTCAGTTTTATAGACTGATGCTTGGCTTTTACAACATATGCTTAGTTTTGCATAGTCAAAATCAAGGCAATGCATTTCTTGATTAAAAAAAAAATACTGCTTTGTCACACATGGAATCACCAGACATCAGGCTTCATTCTTTGCAGATTTCTAGCAGCTTCAAGTCAGAATCTAGGGTCATTTAATGTAAGTAACAACCATCACAGGTGTCAAATGGTTTGTCTTCGACTTTGACTGCCCTTAGCACAATCATTTAGACTAATGAGATAGTTATTATGAAAATTAAATTCATGCCTTAGTATGTTTTATGCATATATATCAGTTGTTCCAACACATCCTATTTGCTTTCTCTATGGGATTCATGTACAAATGTAAGATGTGTTTTGAAAGCACAAATCACATTCAATTGGGTCTACTTTACTGCTTTTTAGATTTTTATTATTTTTGAAAATATTACCACTCCAGTCTTCTTTCTCAAGAAATGACTAGTTTTGTCTCTGAAATAGTGTGACTTCCTCTTTGACTCCAAGGATCTATTTTATGTGCAGCATTGTCTTCCTTATTTGCTTGTTCCATCAGCTTTGCAGTTTGGTAGAACGGCTTCTCTGCAAACTGAACCACAATGCTTTTACTCTGTTCCCAGACTGTGTCCTGGATAATGGTGAACACCAAGGTTAAAGACACCCTGCATCATTTTTTTATGTTGCTAAAATGAGATAAAAGCCTTATGCAAAAAGCAGCCCTAGGCACCCCACCCCTATTGATTTCCTTAATGATGGGGGTTGCTCAGTGACCTCAGATTCACTGTTAGTAAAAGGACACAGCTCTGTTGGAATGATTTAAGAAGTGTTGCTACACATCTTCATTAGTTTCCATAGACCACTTTCCTATTTATTTATTTATGTTAAATAGGACAGGAGTTTGCTAAACAGTTTGACCAGTGTAGATTTAGCCTAACATTTTACCATATGGAAAGAGCTGGAGTAATTTGTGTTTCTTTGCTCATACTAGTTTTTAAAGTTCCTTTAAGTAATGAAATTATTTTGAGTGTATATTTGTTCAATATTGTGTCCCAGGGTAACCCAGAGCTCTAAAATACTTTTGACAAAGAGGTGTTTTTCTTGGTCTAAGTTTACCTGTTTATATTAGTAATACCCTGGGAAGTATCTTTAATCGTTACCAGTCAACGTGGATTAAACACATATGTTTCTGTCAAGTGCTTTCATGCTGTTGCTTAGAGAACAGTTTATATTTTCTTATATGTTAATAAAGAAATTTAGAAGAAGCTGTTGTTTTTTACCCCTCCTTCTCGCTACAAAGACCCAAACTTCATTTCTGTTCTTTATTATTTTGGTCCATCTCTTTCAAGATGATAGTTTTTTCCTTCCTTTTGTTTGAACTAGAGATTCTGGAATTCTTTTTTTTTTTTAATTGCCAGTAAGGAAATGTCATGCAACCTGCATCATGGAATTGAAAAAAAACACAAACAGAATGAAAAGACAATGTGTATCTGTCTTTTAAAGTGTGTTTATGGATTCATTCATTTCCGGATGACATATTGGATACTTATTATGCATAAGACACTTTGCTAGGTCCTAAACTTTATTAACTTATAATTATTAGTTTGAGGTTTTAATTTTAAACATTGAACAAAACTTGAAATCATTTCCAAGACTTCACTTGTTTTTGATTGTAACAACTTGAGGTGTTCTTTTTCATTTCAACAATTTATTATGTTGCTTGAGTAGAGCAGTGTTATTTGCATTGTCCCCAAATCTTGGAAACAATTTGTGGTTCGTTAGCTATAGTGATCATTTTAAACTGTTCATCTGCAACCAGCTGATATTAGATATTCATGTGTATTACATGATTCACCAAAAAGTTAAATAATATTTGTTTCCTTAATGTTGGTTGACAGAGCAACATTGTCCTCTATGCTGTGAGTTACAGGCATGAACAGTGTTTGTTACTTACTACAGAAGGCATTGTGCCGAGTGTTGGGCTTAGTGTTTTATCTTAACTCAACAATTATCACATTGACTTGAGAATTCTAGAATCTACATTGAATTTCAGTCAAAGGCAGCATCACAAAATGTGCTCAGCTCTTCTAGGTTCAAACCTTTCTGCTGCTACTTTTTAACTCTGTGCCCTTGGGCCAGCTGTCCAACCTACCTAAGCCCCTGTAGGTTGCTCACTTATAAAATTGAGGGAAAGTGGTACTCAACTCAGAGCCTTACAAGGATTTAAGGAGATAATGTGTCTAAGGTTTAGTTCTACACTGACCACAGAGCAAGTGTTGGTAGATGTTAGCTGTTAGAAAACTACACAAATGGCCCACGTTTCCTTTCTCCATGGTCCCTTTTTCATGGGACGGCAGTTGATGTTCCCTGCAGTATTTGAAGGAGAGTTACGGTAGGTCAGTCCTGGGCATTTTCCCATTAAGTCTCACACTTGATTTGTGATTATCTCTGGATGTTGGAGAACCTCGTTTACAGCTCAGACAGTGACATAGACTGCATGCTAGGAAGTGTCCTAACTCTGTCATTGATTTTTATATTCTGGGCCACAGAGGAAGGGTGAGACAGCTCATGCCTGAAAGAGTCCAAGTGCGGTCATGTGTCTAAGGCAGCCTAGATTCTTTACGTGTGTGAGCTGCTGTCAGCATTGATTCAGCCTGGCTGAATCCATGATGTATCTCCAGCAGTAACCCAAGGATGAAAGCTGCTTTGTTCTGAGCCTCCCAGGCCAGTGGTGAGCTTAACAAAGGTGGAAAAGGCAAAAGGACTGCAGTGTAAAGCTCCTTTGAATGGAAAGAGGAAAAGGTGTTACAAAATCACTAGCAAGCACTTAGGCCTTGAGTTCAAATCCCAGTGCCACTAAAAAACAAAACCAAAACCCACACACATAATTTTCCCCAAGTTTTCTAATGTGCACACCAGACTTTGGAAGCTGAATATTCTGAGTCCTTGGCCCCTGTTAGGGTTTAGTTCTAAATTTATGAGGAAGCTGTAACATGCCCAGAAGGTGTTTGAGCTGTGTGGCCTCAGTTCAGCCTCAACAAATACCTGGGGTATTTAAAATTGCTTGGTTAACAACTTATTCTTCATGCTAATGTCAATAGCATGACCTTAAACTCATGACCTTAAACAGCAAATACATTCTTCTTTATGCTCAATGTCCTGATTGAGTGTATGTTTTTACATAAGTGTGTAGTAAGCCTACAGATTGAGTAGGGGGAGTAGTGGTGGAGACAAGCAGAGATGGCCTGGACATATATTGGCACTTATATTCTCTGTGTTGATGAAGAACTTGCATTTCTTCTACCTCAGGTGGACAACTGGAAGTGTAGCTTATGTTTTGGTATCACAAAGTATACTGTGTTTCAATAGTTCTGCTACATTTCCACACGTTTTAATGTCAGAAACATTTTTTTTGCAGTACTAGGGTTTGAACTCAGGGCCTTCACCTTGAGACACTCCACCAGTCCTTTTTTGTGATGGGTATTTTCAAGATAGGGTCCTAATAACTGCTTGCCTGGGCTGGCTTGGAACTGTGACCCTCCTGATCTCTGCCTCCTGAGTAGGTAGGATTACAGGCGTGAGCCACTAGCACCCGGCTTGATGTCAGAAACTTTTATCAGGTTGACATTAATAAATGTTCCAGGACACTGCTTCTTTCCTGACCTTCTCCAGATAGTCACCTGCCTTAATGTTATGGGGAAGGTTCCTGTATTTTCTCTACTAGTCATTCCAGGTGAGGCAATGCCCAGCAAAGGAAGAGGACATGGTGTCCAGTTCTACACAGCAGCCCTGGAGAAGACAGGCAAAGGACTTTATTCCTCCCTCCACTGCAATTCCAATCAAGCAGCTTTGCTTTTCTAAGTTTGACATACTGTATTCTGCTGCAGACTTGCTTTGAAGAATAGGTTCTGTGTCTGCAAGAGATTTGCATGCAAACCACGAAGCTGTGCTCCTGCTTCTTATTGCCTGGTACTTGTTATCAAGTAATGGAAACTGGCCGTTGCCGGTGGGTCCAAGAACTCCAGACACACCACACTTCCCAGCCCACCCACTCTCAGACCATAAGGTGACACTACTGCTCTCAACAGGAACAAAAACCCACACTGTACCTTTCTTACCCAGCTCTCACTTCCCTACCCACACTCACTGTATTAAAGGGATTGCTTCCAGAGGATTTGTAACTTGGCGTATCACTTTACCCAGTGTTTCTACTTGAAAGAAGAAAAACATCTGATTCTACACACTCACTCAATGGGTGTTTGCAATACATGCTCATGAGGCACTTGATG